TTTTAGCCCATTTTCTGTAGTGTCCAGGATGAAATCAAATGATCAACACCAAAATTTTGACAATTGGTCCTGTCTCTGCTTTTTGGCTCATGCAGAATCCCCCCCTGGCTGCTTCAGAATGGCTTCCATTGTGCATGTCCGATAATGTCCTTAAAACAACCTTAAACGTTCTTTTTTTTTAAATATGCTACTCACCGGGTCGTCAGCGCTGTTCAATGACGTTCCAAAAAAAGATTCGTAAAGAAAAAACGTTCCTGTAGTGTTTTATTTAGCATTTTGTAAATCCCATTGAGTTCTGTTGGAATAGTCAATTTCCCTCCGCCACCGTAAACGGAAATGGGGCCTGTTTACACTTAGTTGTAGTCTTTTCGCAAGGCCCAAGTGTTTTTGCTTCACTCTGTGTACTCCGACGTCGAGGTGCTAACGTCTCTGTTAAACACTTTAAAAAACTCTGAAAATGGAATACAAAAGGTGGATTCTTGAGGAGGACATATTGGACTTTGAGTTTGACGGTAGAGGATACCGTCGCCAACTAGTGGTCTGGAGTGTGCAACGCTTCAGATTCGAACGGGAAGCGGAAGTTTATAAGCGGTTGTGATGTATCGGAAAAAATAGTTCTGGGATTTACAAAATGCTAAATAAAACAAGACAGGAACGGTTTTTCTTCACGAAACTTTTTTTGGAACGTCATTGAACAGCGCTGACGACCCGGTGAGTAGCATATTTTAAAAAAAGAAAGTTTAAGGTTGTTTTAAGGACATTATCGGACATGCACAATGGAAGCCATTCTGAAGCAGCCAGGGGGGGATTCTGCATGAGCCAAAAAGCAGAGACAGGATCAATTGTCAAAATTTTGGTGTCGATCATTCGATTTCATCCTGGACACTACAGAAAATGGGCTAAAAGTGTTAAAAACCGGAATTCTCCTTTAACTGCTTAAGCAAGATTTCGACCAGAACATCTTGTGGTCAAAATCTTGTAGAAATCACACAAGTGAAAATCTTTAAATGGGATCAAATGTGACTGGAACAGGAATGGATAGCCAAATGTGCCGCATATTTCATGAAATAAAAACTGAAAAGATCTCTATTTGTAAATATAAACTTTTAAATGTTATCTGAGATGCTTGCATAAATTTTTTTTTATCCTCAATAAATACATATTAATTTAGTTTAACTAAATTAAATCAATATAATATATTAATTTATATATCATTTTTATACATAAATTTTACATACATGTTCAACCTATTATAAGATCCCTATTAAAAAATTAATCAATCAAGACTTTATTTCTCTCTCTCGCTCTCATTCTATACACATGCCTATTCTATACACACCTGGTTAAAAGAAAAGCTCGACAATAAAAAAAAAAGCAAACAATTAAATAGAACCTGTTTAACAATATAAGGTCGGCTGACAGAACACTTTATTTAAATAAGTGCAGATCAGAAGCACAGCTACCCATCAGACTAGAAAAGTCATTTATATAAGTAATTTATACCTCTTTGGAACTCCAGTGAACCATAGCGGGAAACATGATCCATAAATTAAGAAAACATACACCTGGAGAATTTAATTCAAATCAGTTTATCTAAAGAGCGCCAATTCACAGCACTTTATCTCAATACATTCTATAGACATTGTTGCAGGATGAGGACACACAAAGGGTGGTATGCGATGTCCCTTTTTGGTGGTAGCTTAACATTTGCATCACCAGTCTAGTCTGTGGTGAGTATCCAGCTATTTATGCTCCTCCAACATATTTACTTCTTCTTCCATGATGGTAAAGGTGTTGGATCTATACCTGTTTCCTTACAAATCTACCATCATCTCACTGGTTTTAAAAGGGGATGATTGTTTACACATCATGCCACAAAGACTTCCACCAGCTCTCGGTACTCAGCTCCTTCTCAATCTCTGATGCACCCAAGGACTGCTGCCAGGAAGTCATCCAATATTTTTGCAAATGACAGAATTGGAAGTGCACATTCGCTGTGCTGCTGACTACCGCCTTTAGTCACTAAAGTCATCAGTTACAAAAACTTTGGTCTTTTTGTCACGTTGTTTTTTTAACCCTGGTGACTGATGTTGCCGACAGATCAGTACTTTGAATAAGCAAACTACAGAGGGTCCTGAGAGCCTCCTGTTTGCTGGCTCAGTTGGACAAACAAGAGACTCCAGAGGACCTTCATGATGTTTGATGTCAGGGCAACAGTTCTATAGTCAATTAGGACTGATGGCTGAGCTATCTGCAATACAAGATCAATTCAATTCAGTTTATTTACATAGTGCTTATTTACAACACATGCCATTTCAAGGCTCTTTAAAGAGACAATTCGACCAGATCATACAGCCAAATTGAATCAAAGTTTTCCGTTTGAGGAAAACCACATTATTGCATCGACTCATTGACTCGAATGCAGTCCTCACACGAAGCATGCTTGTAGCGACAGTGGAGAGGAAAGACTCCCTTTTAACAGGAACAAATCTCCAGCAGAACCAGGCTCAGTGTGAGCGGCCATCTGCTGAGGCCGACTGGAGACAGAAGCAGACATACAGACAGAAGCAGAGATACAAAGGAACTTATCAGCCAGCTTCACAGGCAGGCTGATCCAGGAAACACACAGCCAGGCAGACGAGCTAAGAGCCAGCTCCAAAGTCAGAGGATGAATAGAGCACATCCAGCCAATCACAGTCAGAGAAACAGGACTACACTTAAAAATAGGCTGAGCTCAAACATCTATACACAAAGGTGATGATGGCAGCAACACAGCTGATATTTCTCTCCAGGATGGTGTAACAGCCAAACAGGAACAGACCAGATGAATCTACTAACTACTCTTCAACAACATTGGAACCGTCCTCTGGGTCAAAATAATAAAAAGATGCCATAGAATCTACACAGGCCTTCAGAACACCGTCTAAACCTGCAGCCTCGTGGAATGCATGAACTGAATTGGAATCAGTTCGATCCACCCAGCTGCCTCTTCACCTAACTTCTAGAAGCAAACCTAACTTCTAGAAGCAAACAGGTGAAAGGAGGAGGCAAAAGGAGCAGGATCGTTTTCTGGTTGAGTTAGAGCAAACATACAGAAGCAGGAGGGTCCATGGACAAGTTCGTGATGAATATTTATGGTTTATGGAAACTTTGAAAGCTTTGAATACAGTAAGTAATTTACAGTAAGCTTTGAAGAATGTTCTTTATGCTTTCTGTTCCTGCCCACATTTCATCTAGATAAACAGGGTCCTTGTCCAGATAGAAGCCATTTGGGGACAAATTAGCAGTGGTGGCTGCTGGTCTCTGAAACGGGAGGCTCAATGGTGCTGATTTAACCCACATGTCACGTATTGCATTAACAAATGTTGAAACACATAAATCAAATTACTACAAAGGGTGAAAATAGCTCTTGTGAAGTGCTCTGAAATAATAAGGTCCTGAAACCACAGCAGGAGTTCAGCACAAGATTTTTGGTCTTTTCACATTCAGTCTTCTGGTGAAGATCCGGCAGTGACGTCACAGTGCGGTAAGCCTAGCGCCATTCTCCCCGCTTTACAAGCAAAATCAATGGGAACTACTAGACACATCTGCAATCAACAACAATTATTGAAGATTTCCAGAGGACTTCACCATTGAAATTCACCAGAGCTATAGTGAAACTGACAATGCCACAGTGTTTGACAGTTGGAGGTTGGAATACATCTGGTAAAAGTGAAAAATAATAGTTATTTCACCTTTCTGACTCCTGATCCTCCACGGACGGGTTCGTTGTTGGATTGCCAACTTGAAGAGGGAGGATTTGCCATCAAACTTCTAGCCAGAAAAAAAAAAAAACATAATATGTAATATGTAGCCAACATTTGGAAGAAGAATGTTTTCAAGATGACTTGGATAATAGCGCGTTGTGACAAACACCAGATACAGCACTGGGACTTGATCAACAACCGATACCGCACCGTGACGTCACTAACCAGTAGGTGGCAGTACGGTTCTTTGACAAACATGGATGCCTCCGGTAAAGCACATTCAAATGAAAATTACTCTTAATTAAAAAAACACGTATCGTTTATTGAAAAGTAAGAAATAATTTCATACTTAAAGTAATTCAGGAATTTTGAGTGCTGAATATGACTGGACTTCTCCTTTAACACAAATAAAACAGCATTTAGTCTATATTTGCTCCAGGGGGAATCAATTAAATACATTTTACTCATCTTTAGCAGGATTAGATTAATTTGTACACTACAAAAAAATTATATTTAAATAAAATTTTTTTTTTTGCTTAAAATAGGTTAATATTTCTTGAACTGAGGAGGTAAGTGAAACACTTTGTCAATGGAGCAAGGGAATGTATTTAAAATTAATTTGCATTTTCTGATTTCAAGTGCATATTATCTAATTATCTTATTTTAAAAAATACTTATTTCATTGGCAGATAATGGTATTTACCTACTCATATTAAGGATAAATACACCTAATTTAAGAAATCTCCTGGAATCAGATCATCAGAGTAAACCAATTCCACTGACTGCCTTTTTCTTTCCGTCTGCCTCGGCCTGACAGGAGCGGACAGCTGAGCATAATCCTCCGCCAAGCAGATGCTCGGAGTGCGGATATCTCAGACATGCAGGCAGGTTTGATCTGTGTGTGTGTTTGTGTGTAACCTGTAGAAGCGTCGGCCATTGGGGCAGTAATTCTGGGCTCTCGCACCAAGACCACAGAGGGCCTCTGAGTGTCAGCAACACATTTTTCTATCCTGCATACACACATGCATCCCACCACCACCACCTACACACACACACTGCATCAGTGACACCTCACAGCTAAATATACTGCAAGTGACAGCAACAGGTGACCGTGCTCTTCCACAGACATGCACTTAGCTTGGACGCAGGAGGTCACAGGGTGTGTGAATGTGTGTGTGTGTGGAAAGGACAGAAAGGGGACATGCACGCGTGTGTGTGTGTTGGGGGCGTTGGATTGTGGACTACCTCAGCTGCTCACTTTGCAAAAAACCCAGATCTAAACGCTGCCCAGCTCGGGCTGCCTCGCTTTAGAAAGCCAGCTGGTCTGGCTTAAATGTTACTTTTATTCAAGTTTTGTTTTTGTTTTTTTTATTAATCTTGGTTCATCTTGTTTGATACAAGGAACTGACTGAACAAACCCACAGCTGGAGCTGCTGGGAATCCTTCCAGGTGAAGACAGAACAGAAAGCACTGGTAAGTGAGCTGATGTCTGAGAAAAGAGTTTGATGAAGAACAGGGGTGCAAACTTTAGAGGAATCAGAGATTAGATGGAGAGAACATTTTGGAGACTGATAAAAACATTCGTCCCTGAACTGGACTGATGTTGAAAAGTTAATGGTTTTATTTTAATTGTTTAAATAAAGTGTGAGCAAAACTCTGGTCTTTATCTAAAACAGGAAGTAGAAATGGAGTCAAGTTTATAATTTGATTACTTTTCTGTACTTTGAAAAGAGTTTTTGAATATTTTTATCGACCAGAACCTCTTCCACTGCTACCTGCCCTACTAGCCACCTAAAGTTCTGCTGAAATACCTGAAGTTTTCCAACATCTGAACAACAAACAAGCAAGGTTTACATCCCTTTTGCTTGGTTGTGTTCTTAAGATTTCTTAAAAATAGCTTGGATTTGTATTCCCAATATTTTGAAACAGACTTTGAACAGATTAGAAAGAGACCAGTGGAGAATACATAAATAAATGTCAGAAATATGACTAAAAGAACCGTAATAGAGTAAAAAAAAAGAATCTGTAGGTACGGATGTAAGAAGAATATGGTCAATGACTCAGGAGCTGTTGTATCCTCTGCTAAACTGTCAGTTTGCTTTCATTGCTCTTTAGATGTTTCAGATTAATATGGTTTTCCATGTTGAAGAGGCTTAATTATTTGTCTTAGCAGCTAAAAAAGCAAAATGGATTAATAAAAAAGAATTACATAGTAATAATAATAATGAAAAAAAATTCAAACAAGGAAAAAAATTTTACTAGAGAAAAAAACCCAAAAAACTGAGATAAAGAAAATAATCATTAATACATATGAAAACAAGCAAATATATATAAACCAAAAAAAAAGATTTTTAACTTGATAAATCTGAAAAAAACAAGTTTTCTCATTTATGAATGTAAATTAGGTCTTTCTCAAAATGTAACCGCAGACAATCAGGGCTTAAACAAGCTTCTAATTTAAGACAAGCAGAGAAGACAGAGTTGAAGTCAGAGCATTGAATTTGTGGAGGAGCTGATCTTCAATGTTTTCCCACTTGAGCTCATCCTGGCTTTTGGTCGTCTATGATTTGTTTATGACAAATCTGATAATAAGTCTGAATTTTTAATGTGATAAAAATTACCAATAAAGTGAGCAGTGTTTTATAATGCAGCTATCAGAACAAGCTTCTGGGTGCTCTCTGCTGGTCACACTGCGTTATCATACTGTACATGCTTTGGAACAGATAATTCAATTCAATTCAGTTTATTTCTATAGCGCCAATTCACAACACATGTCATCTCAAGGCAGTTTACAGTTCATCAGATCATACAGTCAGACTGATTCAAAGTTTTCTATCCAAGGAAAACCAGTTGATTGCATCGACTCATTGACTGGAAGGCAGTCGCTTTACACTAACCATGCTTGTAGCGACAGTGGAGAGGAAATACCTCCAGCAGAAAAAGGCGCAGTGTGAGCGGCCATCTGCTGAGGCCGACTGGGGTTCAAGGAGACAGAAGCAGAGATACAAAAGGCAACTGTAAAAGGCGGCCCCATCCAGGAAACACACAGCCAGGCAGACGAGCTCCGAGCCAGCTCCCATCTCCCATATGATCTGGTGAACTGTAAAGTGCCATGAGATGACATGTGTTGTGAATAGGCGCTACATAAATAAACTGAATTGAATTGAATGTCAGAGGATGAAGAGAGCACAACCAGCCAGTCACAGTCAGAGAAACAGGACTACATTAAAAAATAGGCCGATCTCCAATATCTATAAACAAAGGTGTTGATGGCAGCAGCACAGATGATATTTCTCTCCAGGATGGTGTCACAGCCAAACAAGAACAGACCAGATTAAGCTAATATGAGCAGAGAGAGAGAGAGAATGGGAGAAAAGAGATATAATGAAGCAGAATGATAAAAAAAAATGGGTCCTTTTGTTCTCCAGCAGTTTAAGCCTATAGCAGCATATTCATAGAGATAGCTCATGATAACTTGAGCCACTCTAACTAAAAGCTCTATAAGGTACTGTGAATAAAGATGACATCTTTATTGTTTTGTGGAAAACATGAATGACTAAATTGGCCTGAAAACAGCAAAAGTGGAAACTGCGTGAAAATAGAATGAGAAAGAACAAAACTTAAAGTCTCCTCCGCAGTGAAATGAGCTTCAGATGCTTGGTACATCTATGCCCTGATAAGTGATCTATCTCATGGTTTTTGATTGATTCACGTGTTAACAGCCTGCTGTTGTTGGAGCATTTCTGTTTTCTGATGTTGTGGTTTGTGGCAACTTTGAGTATGAAGTGAGTTTTTTATTTCAAGAGATTCAATTTTTTACTTATTACTAAATTAAACCGTTGTTGCTTGGTTGTTATTAATCTTAAACCCTCTGCTCCTTATGTACAAGGCAAACTAGTCATTAAAAAAATAAAAATTAAATATTGTTTTATTTTTTCCTTAACAAATTAAAATCTCACATTAAAATAAATCTTTATTATTTTTGTTTTAAAAATGATTAGGAGCATGTCCCTTTTTGTTCGATTTTCATAATTAATAATTAAAAAAACATAAAATCAGGCAGAGAATTAAAAAAAAGATCAGATTCTTACAACTTTAACAACTATTTGACACTAGCAACGTTAATTCTCTACTTTATGGTAAGAACTTTTTTTTTTCAAATCAATTAAAGTTCCACTAAATAGCCAACGAATAAATAATAATCTGTGTATATCATGTCCGCTTGCTTATTTTTAACAAGACATTCGAAGTGTACAGTAGGGTGGAAACAGCGCCTCCTACAGTCACAGTGTGTAATGTCTGTAGAATTAGTGTCCGGTCTGGGAATAGAGGAATCCAACATTTAACCTAAGCTCTGATTTAAAAAGCTTTTAACTCATTTTGAGCATTCCTATTTTTTGTTCAACATTGAGGGATAGAAAATCAAACAAAATTCAATTGTAGTTTAATCCCATCAAAGCATACAGACACTTTTTTTTTAAGTTGCACTATCATTTATGTCCACAAGGGGTCAGTATTGTGCCTGTCCTGTTCTGTCTTCAACTTTATCTTGTCTTGTTTATTATTTTCTTATTTATTGCTTATTTAATTGCTATTTAATTTATTGTTAAAATATCTTTAGGAAATTTAATTTGAGGAAAATAGATTACTTTTTTGGTGTTTAATTTATTATTTCCATTGAAAAATGCGGTTTTCTACAGTTTTCTTGAGACGTTTTCCTTAATGTGTGTCATTGCGCGCGTGCCTCTGCGTGTGGGCGCGATGCTGCCTGACGTCCGTCCCTCCCTCCGTCCAGGTGCTTACTCACTGACAGCCCGGGAGGCGCGTGCTCTGCTCCGGGAGGAGAGGAGGCGCTGGACGGACTGAAGTGAACCGCTGGACGGAGACAGACGCTGCTGCGGGATTTGCCGAGATCGAATCATGCGGGACTGAGCGGGAGGTAAGCAGCTGTGTGAGGACTTTGATGCGGGTTTGACAGGTTCGGTTGGAATAAAAGTAAAGTGAAGGGTTCACTCTCTGCGCTGTTTATTTATTTATTTTATTCAAAGCATCTCGTGAAAGTGTGAGAGGCAGGTTTCCTGTCAGCGGCGCTTCAGGCTGATCAGGAGACACTTTATGTCCACAGCCGCGGAATAAACGGCGACTTTTTGGACTTTTGGGAATATTTTCATTCTGACTCAGATTCTCAGCACTGCGTAAGAAACAGATCTTTACTTTTTTCTTCAGACCACAACAACTGGAATATAAGTAAGTGTTAGAAAATAGCCTTAAAGCCATTTAATTTTTTTTTTTTTTTTTTTTTTTTTTTTTGTCTCTCCAAAACAGTGGCGGATCTAGACCAAATGTACCAGGGGGCCAGGAAGGGGGCAGCGTATGTTCATGGGGCACAGAAAAAGAGTAAAATAAAAAAACACAGCAAGGTCAATTAACATTCATAATTTATTTTATTTTTTACAAATTTCAGTTAAAAATACTGTTTTATATTAAATTAGAATTAGAACTCAAGAAAAAAAGAGTTTTTTTTTATTTGTTTTGAAAAAAAATTAGCAGATGAAACCTGGGATCCAATACCACTGAAGCTATCACCTTATTGTTATTAAATAATTAGTAAAACCGAATTTGTAAAGAAAAGAAATAGATCCAAAGGACCTATCAGTAACCATGTCTGTTCCAGCAAAGATCTTCATTAGAAATTCTTTGAGTATGATGTCTTCGGTACAGGGGCCGTAACAGGGGCCAGGACATGATCTACAGGGGCACTGACCCCTGTTGGCCCTGTCTAGAACCGCCCATGCTTCAAAAACCACACTCATCAGAATGTTTTTAGGACTTTTATGTGACAGATTGAGAAGAACACTAGTGCGGACGATTTAGGATTATTATTTTTGGAGTTCAGTGTCAGACTAGATGGAGAGAGTCTGCAAACTGCACACAGATTATTAAATAACATTCAGAATGCATAACAATGGACTTTGACTAAGCCATTCTAAGGCATGGATGTGATTTTAATTGAAATCCACTGATTTCTGGCCTCCTGCTAAAGAAAAACATCCCCACAGCATGACTACCACATGTTTCCCTGTGCAAGGTGGGGTTTATCTGATGTGACATCACTGTTTCCTTTTTTTCTCATGATAACAGGTGCATTACCATATTTATCAGATTTTTTTTATACATTGTGGCTGTTGCTGTAATTTGAGAAATGATGGAAAAGTTCCCAGGGCTCTGGATGTTTTTGCAGTGCCTCCTAGAAACAAAGTTTATCCTTATCAAAAATTAAAGCCCATTTTTTTAAATCTAATAATACTTTAACTCTTAACTTTTAAGCAAATTTGTTTTTGGTCTGGATGGCCTTCTTCAGGTTCCTTGGAAACATTTAGTCCAAACATTTGCTGTCAGCTCTGCCCCTGCTGTAGACTCTACAGTATAGACATGAGGGCAAAGTCCAAGTATTGTTCAAAGCAGGAGCGGAGCTAGATGGGGGGCCAGGGGTGGCCATGGCCACCCTTAGCCAATCATTGGCCACCCCTACCATTTTTCTCTCTAATGCTACATTCACACCGAGAGGCAGCAGGAGCAGCTAGTTTACATGCAAAGTCAATGGTTGACGCGCGTCAAGGCGCAGCAAAATGTCCTGCAGCGCATCTGAGCAGCTGAAGCAGCGCGTCAGGAAACGCAAAGGCAGCTGCTGCTTGAGTTGGAAAAACTGAACTTTTTTCTGCTCAACGCGCCGCATCAACCAATCAGAGAAGCTGCTCTGGGAGCTGGCAGGCAGACAGGCACATCGCTGATGATACAGAGCGCTGTGATCACTCCTCTGAAACAGTTTATTAACGCCTAAATTTACTTAAAATGCTGAAATCTGCAGGCAGAACATTTTCGCTTTAATTATCCTGCCTGTCGTTTGGATAACGTACATGGAAAAACGCCTTCCAGCCGCCGCTGCAAAACGAGAAGAGGCGACCGGGCCAGAGGCTGCTGTTGAATGGGATTCCTAGTGACAGAGCACCGCTGGTATGTGGGGGTCTGAGTGGTTCCAACAGAAATAATATTTGAAGGAAGGATGGTAATCTGGATGAACTGACTGCACACATTAAGCTTTCAGGGAGGTTTTCCACTTAAAAACATATTAAAACTACTTTATTCCCACTGATCACAGAAGGATAGAGTAGCTCCGCCCAACATGCATCAGACCCACTTTTTCCACCGCGCAGCTGAACGTAGCATAATACAGACAGTGGCAGCAGTAATACTCTCAAATGGAATATTCTAACTTATTTAAAATTAATTTTTTTTCATATATTAACAGTGACTTGACTACAAAAACACTGTTAATTATGCACATCAATAAACTGACATAAAAAGGTACAGAATTGATGCATTTTCCAGAACTAGATTATGTCTTATGGGGTAAAGAGAAAATTATGTCTTTGCAAGTCATCAAGGATTCTACAGTGAAATCGGAGCTAAATAACTACTTTAATAATAAGTAATCAATTTAATGTAGATATTAGTAGATATAATATTAATTTTAAGAATGATTATTGATAAACGTCTGAAAGTAGTGGCAATGATTAAGATGTTCGCCCTAGATCTCAAACTTGAATGATTTTTGTCCTCTATACCTTTAATTTAGACAGCATGGATGTTTAAATATATGCGTCTATTTGTTAGCAAAGACTGTAGGAAAGTATAGTTTGTCTTTATTTAGAAAACATGGATGTTGTGCTTGTTCATTTTCCTGTTGGACCAGTGTAGATTGACCCTAAGGTTCTGGCATCTATCCACATTTAGCCACCCCTCAGTGTACGTTGGTTATTGCCTGGCCACCATTATTAACATTTTCTGGCTACGCCTCTGCTCTACAGCCCAAAGTTAAAGGGTTTGTTTAGGATGTCATAGGACATGTTGATACATTTTTATGTGGAAAAGTTGCTGCCTGACATATTTGAGTTTTATTTATGGACTCATTTTATTTTCCACTGGGATTGTTGTAATACCTGTCTTACCTCCGGTCTTCAGTTTAATTTTTCTTTTTAGATTATTTATGTTGTGACGCTTAAGCTTGGTTTTGTGTTTTTTACCAATTAAAAGGTAAGAGATATACAGATAATTGCTGCAGGTACATATAAATCACTGACTGATTGGTTCAGATTTACAATAGTCTAACTAAGATTTACAGCATCAAAGAAAAAAATCTGCTATCGTAAAATATCTTTTAAATTGAACTACAATATTCTCTCATTTATTGTATATTCAAACTGTCGATTTTGCAGTCCTAGTGCTTCCACCATCTTTTAGGCAGACCTCCTTCCTAAGCTTCCGTTTCTAACTCATCATGTGGAATCCAAGGCTTTTCACCTCCCATGTGACTTAATCTGTTGAGCCACAACACCTCCCTAAGAAGGCACCGAGAGGCTGTCCTGAGGCCCCAACCAGCTGCATTGGCATTTCCCAGGGAGAAGCAGAGACTCTGATCAAGACCTCTTCACTGTCTGTCTCCAGCAGGGTTGGATGTAGGAAATGTATTGCCCTAGGCAAAGACAGGCAGGGGGCCCTCTGAATTGAGAAGACGACGCATAAAACAGACCCGTTACACAGATACACACATTTTAATAGAATAGACATACAATATTAGATTTTATAAGAGCTCACTTAGCTGATTGCTCCATTCCTGTGTTTCCAAAAAGGCGACAGCAAAAGTAAATAACCCAGTACTTCTTTTCACTGTAGACAAGCCATGATCTGCTTCTCTGTTCTCCATTTTTTATTTGGATGAAATCACAGCTGCATGAATCATGACAGCAGACAAGATAGAGGAGAGCAGGAGGCGGGGCAATCAATCTACTTGCTCTGGAGAGCAGAGTTTGCTGCTTTTAGATGTTGTCTCCAAAGTCTCCAGTAGCAGAAAAAAGTCAAAAAAGTCGCTAGATTTGGCGCTAGGCTGCATGAATCATGACAGCAGACAAGATAGAGGAGAGCAGGAGGCGGGGCTATCAATCTACTTGCTCTGGAGAGCAGAGTTTGCTGCTTTTAGATGTTGTCTCCAAAGTCTCCAGTAGCAGAAAAAAGTCAAAAAAGTCGCTAGATTTGGCGCTAGGCTGCATGAATCATGACAGCAGACAAGATAGAGGAGAGCAGGAGGTGGGGCTATCAATCTACTTGCTCTGGAGAGCCGAGTTTGCTGCTTTTAGATGTTGTCGCCAAAGTCTCTAGTAGCAGAAATAACATTGTGAGCTGTGAACTTTGAAACCCTGCGGTTTCGTCGTACATTGAACTGTAGCTGCGTGCAACGATTGAAGAAAATATACAGTGTATGCCCGGCTGAACATGGAGGGAGGGACAAGCTGAGCACATGGTTCAGTGTCTGTCCCACTAAGGAACTCAGGAGTTGTTTGTTATAGGGAGTACCCCAGCATACCACACATGCAAGGTCAGGTTACGTCTGAAGTGCATATTTCACATCTTAAAGGGGAGCTGGTCAGATATTTAGTCTACATCTGTTTGTTAAACTCGTCTGCCTTTTATCGCACATAAATATATTTATCTTGGTTTTTATTAATTAAAGGTCTATTTCTCTTAAATGTATGAAGTCAAAATTCTATCAAAAGGGCACACATGGAATAAATACCCAGAGGAGCAGTTTTATTTCAAACATGGTTTCTTTCTTTATGTAACAATATTCTAGTCTTGTTTTGGCTTCAGTTTTAGGGGGGTTGGGGAGTCATTTGGTGAACTTGGTTTTAACTTCAGGCTGTAAGCAATGACTTCTCTAAAGAGAGGGCTTGTTGGAAATAAGCAGATGGTTAAATGCTTCAAAGACGGCCCAACTGTTCTGGCAGTGAGCGCTTTAAGGAGAGCGCTGTAGGCTGCTCTGAAAGTGACTCAGACAGAGGAGTGTTTGTGGAGAAGTCACACAACATCTTCACTGGAATTATC